GGGATTATCTCAGTTGTTCTCCTGACTGAAGTTTGGTCTGTTTACAGCATCCTGCCATGAGATTACATTTGTCCCTGACCAGTTGTACGTTTGAATTGTTTCACAAATCTCTCAGTCAGAACATGCTATATCATGTTTAGGAAACTAGCGAGCTAACTTCCTGCTAACTTCTAACTCCGTTAAATTTAATAAATTCTGTTTTCATGGATGCCTGGATGTTAAACTTAATTGTTACACCTGGTAAAGCAGCAACGCTGATCATTTTATTAAAGATGAAAGAATTTAGACAGTTTTTACTCTCAGTGATGCTGCAGTGTTCGTTTGACTTTGGGACCTGAATCCAGATTACTCCGCAGGCTCCTGACTACGGTAGCCGTAATGCTCCAACAATCCATCAAGCGGTGCAGCTTTGTAGCTTATCAAAGTCGTACTAAAACATTTTTTGACAGATTTTTGAGCGCAGCCGAAAGACCAGATTCCTCTGACATATTACAGCAAGTTTAAAGGACGAACCACTGTGAACACTGACACAGGAGTGTTGGAGATCAGGAACATGACTGCAGCGGACACTAGACTGTATTCAGTGGAGATCAACAACCAAGTCCAGTGTCAGGTATATCAGATTGTGGAGATCGAAGCAGTGCCCCAGCCTGAGGTGAAAGTGACGCCGCTGTTGTGTAATTCAACCTCAGAGAGCTGTAAACTGGTGTGTCAGGGAGTCATTAACAAAGCCGGGCCTGTGGAGTACTTCTGGAAGAAGGATGAAGGAGAGTGGGATCAGTCAGGAAAGGAGATGGAGATCCTGAATGATGGCGAAACACAGCGTGTGAAAACTTTCTCCTGCAGGATGAAGAACCTGGTGAGTGAGAGCGACAGCGAGCCCATCGATAATCCACTCTACCAGGAGAAAACCCCCGACTGTGGACTCTGTGTCACACTTTCAGGGGCTGTGATGAGATCCTTGGTGATCCTGACTCCGTGTTGGGCGGCTGTGTGTTTGTGGACAAAACGAAAGACTCTTCGTAAATGCAGAAACACACACAGCTGAAGCTGAACCACCGCCTTAATTTCCTGGTGTAGTGTGTTGATAATATTTTGCCTTTTAAAGCTGACGTTCAATAATTCTGTTGTAATAATTATCAGATAAAGCTCAGTTCGGTCTGTCCTGTGCAGACTGTTTGCTGTGGTGGTTTTTACAAGCTTGGGTTTCTGTTGTAACAGCTTGGTTTGGCTTCATCGAGGAGTCAGCTGTTATACACAAAGCGTCCTCTCCTGATCT